CTGTGATGACGTCACGTACGCGCTTTCGTCGAGCGCGCTTTAGTCTACCGCGGATTTGTGGTGGAACCGCGGACTCTGACTCCCTGGCTGGGGAATTCTGGGAGTTGAAGTCCACAAGTCTTAAAGTTCCCAAGTTGGACACTTTTCTGTTACACCATTTCAGAAAAAAAAACGGTGTAAGATTTTTCAAACATCTCTGGTTAAAAATAATAATAATTTAATGTAAGAAAAAAAGAAAGCTGAGCCGGCCTTCAGTTCTGATTCTCCCTGCTAAAGGCTCAGCTGGGTCTGCTCTGACCGGGAACCTCCCTCCCTCCCTCCCTCTCTTTTTCCAGGAGACCCTGTGGGACGTCATCGAGACCTCTCCCCTGGGAGTCCAGCTGCCCTTTGTGGGGTACTCCTACACTTACACGGCTGTGAAGTAAGAAGCCTTTCTGGCACCCTTTTTGTACTTTGCAAAAGCTTGTATAAAAGTTTGCACTCATTACAGAATGGAAGGACGACTCCCTTAATGGAAGCGAAAGAATAATAAACAATAACTTAAAAAGTTTTGGGGGGGGGAAAAAGTTTGCACTCAGAGGCTAAGCTGGAGCCTGGGCGTTTCTTTCTGGTGTTGATTCCCACGAAAGTCCTGGATCCCACGATGGTTCTCAGCAGGTTCTTCGATGCAGAACTAATCCTGGCATTCAGCGTCTTTCAAGATGGGTGGACTTCAATTCCCAGAATTCCTCAGCTTTATGGCCTTGAGGGAGGGGGTGTGGCAAGTCCTCACCTCCACCTGCTTTCCAGGGAAACTCAGAAGGGCAGGAAGCTCTGGTTTTTGGTCCCAAGAGCTGGGCCAGGAGTTCAAACAGGCCCAATATGGCTGGTGGGCTGGTTCTGCCACACGGATATTTTAACCCTGGATTTTGATTTCTGTTCTTCCTAGAGGTTTTATGGCAATCGTTTTCTTTCTTAGTTGTCATTAGCCACCTGGAGTTAGGTAGCATGACCTCCGGGTGCCATCTACCAGCCAATGCCACCTGGCTANTAGTTGCCAGTCGACATTGACCGGCAGATGGGACTCGGAGGACCCAACTAGGTAACATCATCATTGCTGTGGGATCCTTGGTGCTCTCTGAAGGGGCTGGGTTTCTTCCAGACGTCTTGTTACCAAACTAGCTAACGTCATCAGTGCATACCCCGTACCCCGTTCTGCTTTCGCTTACTCGTGGCTCCCTCCTTTCTCCCAACCTTCATTTCTTTCCCCCCCCCTCCAAGGAGCATTTCCGCTTCCCCCTCTTGACCCCCGAGATCCCCCCGGAAGCCCAGGCCTTAATCGAAGGGCTGATCTGCTCCCGGGAGACCCGCCTGGGACGCAACGGGGTCCAGGACTTCAAGGAGCACCCGTTCTTCGTCGGCATCGACTGGCAGAGCCTGAGGGACTGCAGCCCGTCCTTCGTGCCCGAGTTCGCCAACGCCACGGACACCTGCAACTTCGACGTGGTGGACGACTGTCTCACCGACATGGTGAGAGGGGGAGGGGTACGTGACCTCTTATTTTTCTCTGCCCTTTCCCCCTCCGCTACACCCGGGGAGGTCCCACTCTTTTCACAGGTAGTCCTCGACTTACAACCCGTTCATTCAGCGACCATTCAAAGCTTCCCCCGGCACTGAAAAATGTGGCTTAGGACCGTCGTTGCCGCATCCCCTTGGTCACGTGATCAAGATTCAGGCAGCGGGACCAACTGACTCGTATTTATGACGGTCGCGGGGGTCATGCGATCCCCCTGTCGTGACCTTCTGGCAATCAGAGTCAGAGGGGGAAAGCCCGGTTCCCTTAACAACCGTCTTACTTGCTTAACAACCGCAGGGGTTCGCTCCACAGCGGGCGAGAAAGGCCGTCAAACGGGGCAAAGCTCACTTAACGACTGCCTCGGTGAGCAGCGGAAATTTGGGGCTGAATTGTGGTTGTGAGTGGAGGACTACCTGGGAGAGAGGTGGAAGGGACCTCGGAGGTCTTCTAATCCAAACCCCTGCTCAAGCAGGAGACCCCAGTCCAGGGGTGGGTCTAACCTTTGAACTTTAAGACTTGCGGACTCCGTGACCCATCAAAACCGCGGTCCACTAAAGCGCGCCCGATCAAAGCGCGTACGTGACATCATCAGCAGCGCAACAAATAAAATAAAAAATAAATTAAATAAAAATTAAATTAAAGCAAGCCGATTCACGTTAAGGTAAGGGTTAGGTTTAGGTTTAGGTTTAGGT